GGGGGGGAAGAGAGTGGGGAAACGACGTAAGCGGAAGTGTAAGTAGCACAAATTTTTCCTAGGGGATATCCAAGAAACCGTTTTTCATTTTGAACTGTTCTTCTGAGAGCTACTAACCTTCTATCAACTTCTCATTCACTTTTGCTTTCTTTTCTAGGAGAATTTGCACTGTCGCATTTCTTGCCCATTCAACTTTGTCTTCAAAATTAAATGAATGATTACAGGCCAGATTTCAAGAAGAACGTATTGCAAAGGCAGTCACATCGTTGGAGCAGTTCACCGCTTTAGCCGAGGACCTCATTCTCGACGCTCAAGCCACCTACGCCAACGCATTCAACACAACCCAGTTCCTCAAGCATTTTCACGAGGTGTAAAGTTGTCTTCAATGTTGACTAGTTGGAATGAGCATATTTCCAATGCTCATCTCCTTCGTTATAACTCCCCATTGTAGAGGTTCATCAAATCCTTTTAGCACGGTGGTACCACCGTTGGTGGGGCTACGCTGGACGCATGGGCCCGCGAATCTGAAGCCCATTACAATGCTACCCTTGAACGGGGCAAATACATCGAGAAGAGACTTAATCGTGCTGAGCAGGAACACAAGTACTGTAAACAGGTGTACAGAATTTGGCAGTGAATAGTGAAGTGCTCATATTTGCAGGAAAAACGAGGAGCTCCTTAAGAAGGTATTTGCGAACAAGCTCAATGACACATCTTTCGAGAATCTCCAAGAACGACTCGATGAATTCGATCAATGGCTGGAGGACTACAGGTACCAATTTCTAAAACCAGCGGTCACATTGGGGTGAGTATAGAAATGGGGGGATCGTTCACCTTGTGAGAGACTACGGGTGGACCTTTACTTGGCATCTGCTAGAGAAGGGACGGGGTCGCAGAAGGCCACATGTATCGCCCTACGTGCGATAGAGGTAAGACATCACTAGGCTGACACTTCACCATGTGTTTACACTTCACCATGTGTTTGTATTGACTGGTTCCATTACTGGAACGGTGTAGCGTTCGTCAAGTAATCCAAGCCAGGCAAAGGAGCGTTGATAAGGAAGCCTCTTGAGACTTAAGAATTTTGGGGAGGGGGGGGGGGGGGGGGGGACTAAGTTTAGGGAAAACATAAAGTTGTTTCTTACGTCTGAGGTGAGGAGCCCTCCATCCACCCACACTGTATCAATTGAAGCCTGAAAGGGCTCCTCACCTCAGACATAAGAAGGAGTCCTATCATCTCAGACAGCCTGAAGCCTTTTTTGGAATGTAGATCTTTATGAGTGGGTCGTAAATCGAGAAAGTTCGGAAGAGGTCCTACTGACGGACGTTTTTTGAACAGCAAAATGCAAAATGGTTTTCTTCACAAAATGATTTTCTTCACATTGCACCATCGGAGTTTTCCCACCTCGGGTATCGGAGTTCAAACACGGAGACTACGGCTCCTTGAATTAGCTCCAAGTAGAGATCATAATTTACTCCATTCACTGTGCTATTTGGTATTTATGAAAATTCTGCTCTTTTTCGTTTGCCGCTTACAGCTCCTGCAATTATTTCCCTTAAATCCGACTTATTCTACCCACGCCACTCGAGGTTCAGTGTTCAACCGTCACTTGCAGGGCTACCATCTATGACAGTGCGAGGCGCGATACAGCAGAAGCAGAACGAATGAGCAATGTCGTCGCTAAGCGCATCGATCGATATAAGGTATAAAATCAATAATGCACCCTGTTGGATTAGATTTGAGGCTTAAGTTTTAGGAAGTTAGCAACGAGATCGAAAAACTCCGGGCTGAGGCNAGGGCTACCATCTATGACAGTGCGAGGCGCGATACAGCAGAAGCAGAACGAATGAGCAATGTCGTCGCGAAGCGCATCGATCGATACAAGGTACTGAATCAATAATGCACCCTGTTGGATTAGATTTGAGGCTTAAGTTTTAGGAAGTTAGCAACGAGATCGAAAAACTCCGGGCTGAGGCCGAAGATGATTTGGCTGCTGCTCGAAATGCTGTTGACAATGCGAAAGGGAAGGTAAGCAATTCATCTAGGGGAGCCCATACGAGCCCATACGAGATAGTTTCACCTTTCTATCGAGAATGATGAGTCGCTTCCTGCAGGAACTGCTGAATATGTTTGACGACAATCGGGCTATGAATGAAACTCTCAAGACGGCAGCTGATGCTTCTTCTGAGTGTCGAAACATATCCATGATGTGAGGACGATGTCTTTTTTATTGGTTACAAGTTTATGGGACCCAACGAAAAACCTTCTCTCCAGGTATGCTCAACTCATCGATGAGTACGACGAGGTGTTTGTGCAAAAGGCAGCAGCACATGCAGAAAGGTTGGAAAGAGCAGCGGAAGTACTGAAGGACTCATTCAAAGACACGAAACTCGAGGCAGAGAATCCTTTGAAAGCCTCTCATGCTTACGAACAAATCGCCGATGGTCTCAAGAATGCCACTAAGGCCTCCAGTGAGGCTCTGGTAAGCAGCATCACATCCTCCCTGTCAATTGCACAGAAAAAATTCAACGTTTTCCTTTTCAGACAGCGGCAGAAGAAGCTTATGCTGAAGCCGATGGGGACGCCGAGAATTCGTTGCTGAAACGGGTAGGCGAATCGAAGAATAAAAGTGAAACACTTGCTGGAGGTTCGTTGCCATCTCTCTCCTTTTTTTGTAGTTCCTGGTCCGTAAGGCATTGCTTCAGAAGCCGCTGCACAACGAAAGAATTGGGAAGATTTGGGAATGGAGAAAGAGAGGCAGGGTATCGATGAGCGACTGAGCGCGGTGAATGAGCAGAACATCGACATGACGAAGCGTAGTGACGCCATCAAAAGTGAGCTCTTCACCTCTCAAGAGTGGTTCCCTCAAAAGAGCCGTTGATTTACAGACCAATGGTCCAAATTCGACGATCACCACGATCGGACTATTGGGCTACAGTCAGTTGCTCGTGATGCTGATCAACGGGCTAAGCTGGCTAGGGAATCCACGGATGTGTTCGTCAAAGAAGTGAGTTTTTAAGACGGTGGAGGCTTCCGCATCAATCACAAACAATCCTTACAAACTCCTTTTAGGCGAAAGAAGTTGCGGACCGCATGAGCAAGCTGCTCAATAGCACCGGTAAGGGTATAAGAGAGGAAATCGAGAAGGTAAAGTCACTTTTAAAAATTCATATTCGTGCTGGAAGTCATGGGCTCTTTAAAGGTCCGTCAGGCTCGTGTTGAACTCGAAAAGAACCGTAAGGCTCTCGAAGAAGTGGGCGGAATCAGCGCAGAAAACCGAAACAGAGCGGACGAAATGCAGAAGCAACTGGCCATCCTGAAGGACAAAATCAACGAAGCTCGTGAGAAAGCACAGCAAGTTCGTGCCACCTCCAGTCGACCGATAATCGAACTTCAATGTTCATCGGTTGTTTTCAGATTCGGGTATCATTGCGTTCGGACGAGCGTGGTATCTGCCAGCGCTCTTTCATCTCTCCGGCTCATCCCTCTCCATCGAACTCGTTCTCAATTCGTTACCGTCCTTTACGAAATGTTCCGGACAGCACTATATTCGTAACGAGAACGAAGCCACGAAGGACGCAACCCAGTGAATTCATTGCAATCGAGGTATGAAACAATCAGCAGGGTGAAGACATGGCTGATCAGGATGGTTCTTTAGTTTTTTTGCATTTGCCATCCATAAGTCGGCGTCGGTCCGAGCGGGACCTCGCTATTTCGTCCTTTCCCATTTCTACTTTTCCTACGCATGTTCGAAATTATTCAGATCCGCGGTAAAAGGGTTGTAGCGCACTGGAACATCGGCGGTGGAGCTCGAATGGCCACCAACAGCCACTCGATTCTGTTCATTCCGAACACGGATCGCGCTAACTGGTATCACATTGATGTCGATCGAATTGGCAATGCCCTCAACCTCACCGTCGCCCTCAAGGAAACTCTCACTGGATCTTGTAAGCTGTTCCATTCTGGCGAATATTGCATCCAGCAAATACGTCCAATTTCAGCTCCACGCCATCGTACTGATGCCATCAGTGTCTTCGTTGGAGGTGGCGAATGGGATGGCGATGTGGTGTTCAACACTATACCCGGAGAAACGCAAATTTCGATGGGTACCGACGTCGCCAGTGCTGAAGAAATGGGTCTAGCTACGAACAAGGTACTATCAAAGGTGTTTGCCGTTTCTTCAGAATGGCATTTTGCTCACAGACAACCACAGATGTGAATTTTCCGTGTGTAGTGCCTTTACTCGATGTTCGTGTAGTAGCTGTCTTTTATAGTTCTATGGTGTCATCGGAAGCTTGATGGTAGACGGCATCTTAGTACCGCTTTGGGCTTTCTCGAGCAACTCACCTGAATGTGACGGAGCCACCTCACCACCACAACCAACCGTCCGTGGATACATGTTCCGGTAAGATCAATGGAATGGATTACCTAATAGTCGGAGAGGAAAATAATGAGTCATTCGATAGTTCTCAGGCCTTACAACCTCCCCTAGCAGCTGAGTTCACTCGACTCGATTTACCTGCAGCCCGGTGGAACAACAACTCAAAATAACTAGCTGTTACTGCCCCACAACTCCGGTAATTGTGTGGGCACGCCAACGGAGACCGGGCGCGCTCCCACACTACTGCAGAAGTAGTGAGGTCCCCCAAAGTGAGCATATCGGTTTTAGTGCAACGCCGCGAAGTGACCAAGATCAAGGTTAACTTGAAGTTCCGTTGAGTAAGAAGAGAGAAGAGTAAATATAGTGAGATAGTGTATGAGTATTCAAAGGAGCAAAAGATATACTTTAGCTGGGGTGCGAAACGTGCGTTTGAAGCCACAGCTCACGATGATTCTGGGGTATCTAATTTTAGGCGAATAATGGAAGTGATAGTCCACACTAGTGTTAAAAAGGCGAAGGAAAGAGAAAAATCGGCGTATTTAGAGAAATCTCGAGTTTTTAAAAAGAAATGAACCTAGGAGCTGGACGGAAGTGCAGAGGTTGCATGGAAGGGGTAATTGAACGAGCCGTTCGAACGTACGTGACTGCATACACATGTGGGTCCCGGTGCGAATAGTGCAACCTCTACAGCTTTTACTACGGTTAAGGGCTCGTCCACCTCAAATGCGTACGACAGGACGGATTTCAAAGTCTCGTGAATGTCTTAGACAGTACTGAAAAAGTGCCGCCAGACATCCGCCACATATACGACGTAACAAAAAGGTACCCTGGGTGAAGCCCACGGGGTGGGTTGTAGAGCACTAGGGGTGCTACAGTATCACGCGCTCCATTCAAATCCCTCCAATGTGTGAACGTCGACTAGCTGGTTTTGGAGCTTTTATTCCCTTCTTGACCGTCTCTCGACTTGACAGCATCCCTTACATTAGTCCATCCTTAAGGATCACAGGTCCATCCAAGAAAGGAATCTCAAAGACCGTTTTTCAAGAGCTGCGCCATTCAGTTCTTCGCTGTAATGAAAGCACATCGAACTGGTCGTGATTCTCTATATAGGTCGATTTACGAAGTCAAATGTACATTTCTTTTCAGTGATGGCTTCGCTCAGATTGAAATGGCAACGTTCGAGCGAACAGTGTCATCGGTTTCAGTGATCTTCAACGCTTATTCGCCTGAAGGTCTGCTGTACTTCAGGGGATCTGAAACCAGTGGAGATTTCTTCGTTTTGTATCTGAAGGACGGCCATGTCATCTTCAAGGTCTGTTCCATGAAATATTTCATACCTTTAGGTAATGCCGCCTAGGCTGCGAAGCTCGGATGATAAGAAGGTTGAAATGCGACAGAAATGTGAATATTGCCATCGTATTGCTCAGAACCTCCAAAAGGATCAGAATGAACCCTTATCTTCTCTTTTCTTCTCTTCCTATTTGAAGACAAAAGCATCCTCTTCCCAACCCCTCCAACATCATCCCGCGCGTCGCTGGGCACCTGTTCCTGTTGACCGTCCCCGACTCTTTCCATTTACAGCATATCCTTCTGTCACTTTAGCTTCGGCAATATCTTTTGTGATTACTCCCTGATGTGAATATGAAGTGAGCCTTAACGTTTAAATGAACACAATGGGATCCAGATTCATCTCGGAGGCCAATCTCAAGCTGAAATCAAGTCAAAACACAACTATGCAGATGGTCGCGAGCATACCGTGAAGGCTATTCGCAGCGGCAACGAAATTCACCTTCAGGTATAAAGACGTCGGCTAATCAGAAATAGACGAACCCATTCATAAAATGATTCTTTGTTTTTCAGGTGGATAGCGACGCAGACCGATTCTCGACCACAATCCCAGGCGAGAACACGGCTTTGAACATCGAATCCGATTGGCATTACGTGGCTGGAGTGCCAGCGTCGCTAAAGACCGACCTATTCGATCCAGACATCAAATGGAAACACTTTTTCGGCTGCATTTTGAGTGTCAAACCAACCCAGGTAGGTGTATGTTCGACATACCATGAACTGAACAAAGGTTGAGGAACTCAAGCGATCTGATAACTACTTCATTCTAGACTTCGGACTTGGATTTGGACCATCCAGTTCGCTGGCTGCGGCGCGAACCAGGTTGTCACTTCTCAGCTGCCAAGTTGGTACCTACTGACCGAATAGTTGGATTCTCACGGCCAGGATTCCTTCTCCAAAAAGGAGTTATTATGGATAACAACTCAAGGTTAGATGAGGCTTTCAAAAATAGGGCCCCTATTCACGTTTGCTTGAAATCTCCTCATTTCGCTGTATTTTCTTTGGCGGAACGTTCCTTCATATCTGAGCTTTCGCTATTCTCAAACTATTCCTCCCTTTAGTTTTGCATTCGGATTCCGTACAAAGGAAGAGAACGGCACGCTCATATTCCAGTCGTCGAAGCTGTCGGCTTTCCGAAGAAGGCAACGGGATAGTGATGGGATGGCGAATGGCAAAGTATGTCTATGCAGTTTTCATTTTAGACTTTCGAATGAGTGATGCTTGTTTCAAATGGCTGACTTTATATTTTAAGGGATATATGGCGTTCTATTTGTTCCGAGGTTACCTCGTTCTTCACTTTGGAAAGGTATGTCATATAACATTTCTTTCAGCAAAAGCTCTAGCGTTTCCTTTTGCCTGGTTCGGAAGCTCTTGGGAAATAGGACCCATGCAAAACGTTTTAGTGTAGAGGCGTTGGTCGATTTTATTTTGGATGTTCCAGTTGTCCGCCTCCTTCTGTTCTTCCTCTCGCTTAGACGGCTGATTTTTCGATTTGCGAAGATCATTAATTACTTCGGCCGATTTCTTTTTATCACTAAAATCTAGTGTTTAACGAGGGGCTCTGTAGCTATAGCATCTCCCTCATACTGGAGAAGGTCCATCGCTACCCGTCGAGCATTTGTTCAGTCGGTTGAAAAGCTGGCTCTGGAATTCCCTCAAGTTTTTTCTGTCTCAAGTGTATCGAGGAGTTCCGTGTTAAGGATGCCTCATCCCGTAAAGGAGTTGTCACGATCAGATCGAATCACATGTACAATGACGGCCGACTGCACTCGGTGTTTATGAGCCGCAAAGGCAAGATGTAAGTTCGCTGTGAAATTCTTTTTTACTGGTGATTTGTTTCGTATCATTCCAGAAGTCCTAATTGTTAAATAACACGTTTATACCAAGCGGGGACGGAAAATTCACCCAGAACTGGATTAACGTTGCAAATGGGGCGGCGAAATGCGTGGCGTTTAGGATTGCTTTGACTCCTATCACTTGGGCGCAAACTTGAAATAGAGTACATTAGTATGGTTAGATTATCATGATAATCAACTAAACTTCAAATTTGGGCCCCACTGACAATCGCTAAAGTCGTTTAGATCGCCACGAATTTCGCCGCACGATTTGCAGCGTCCATCCAGTTCTGGGTGAATGCACCCATACCCATATCCAAGCTGATCCCAAAATAGTTCACATGTGATCATAATTTGGGTTTTGAAGGATGGGAAACGTTGATGGGAATATTATTGGGAAATATTCAATTCATCTAAAGTAGCTTAAGGTGGAGTTGGTATGGTGGCAATTCGCACACTATCACACACGCATGATCACTAGTTCGAATCCCAGGTCGATATCTCAATTGGTATTAGACTAGTCTGGGGGTAGGGGTGAAAGTACTGATTTGTACATTGGACGGCCGTAGTATAGGCTACATACGTAGTCATTGAGCCTCTAGGGTTTTGAATGGAAGTCGAATGCGGGGCCCATCCTTCAGGCGAGATTGATTAACGCGAACGTTTCTATGATACTCCATGACCACTTCCGAATTTTTAAAACAAATCAGGCCACGGCGCTCTCGACCAGCCCGTTGTCTGTTTATCCATTTGGGATAGAGAACACCAAGTGTTTTTAGAGTTCTAGGAGGTGCCAATGACATAAAGACAGCCAGCTAAAGGTGCACTACGTTAGCTTCGCCTCACAAATCGTTTAGGGTCATTACACGTTGTGTTAGGAATCGCCAAAAATGCGTTAGGGTTCGCGTAAGACAACTAACATGCTGGAAAATTCATTTGGCTAACGTGACTCTTGTCGGCTTCTTCACGCCCTAAAAGCTTGTTGGGGACGCTTGTCAATATATCTGTGACTTAACAGTTCATTCAAGAAATCTGTTCAGATTTTATGTTGTAAGCCATTTTAGCGAAAGGCGACTCTGAAAGATGATTTTTTTAGTGTTCAATTACGAGTCGATGATAAGGAAGTGGGCGAGAAGCAAGTGCTCGACGACGAATCGCCTATAGGCTCTGCAACCAGTCAGATGTTTATTGGAGGTTTGAACCTGAAAATGACTCGCTTTCATGTAACAGTAGCGTTTGGAGTAGATTTCACTGAGTTGTCCAATCAGTGAATGTATTGTATTAATATCTGTCATAGTAAAGAAATACTGCCGTACGACACTATTCAGGATTTGCTGAACGATCGAAGCCGCCAAACAACGAAATACCAACTACCGTGCCGCTTATCGGTTGTGTTTCCGACATGTATCACAATTATAAGTGAGTCGGTATCATAGCAGATCAGGAAGGGTTTCCTTCTTCTTTGAGTCTTTTTCTGCAATTTTTCGAAGTCAACGAGCGAAACGGGCTCGGTAAAGCATGATTGCTTAAGAACGTGGCAAAGATTAATGCCCTTTGTGGACAGGCTATTCACGGTGAAGAACCGACCTCAGAAAGTATATTTCACGATGAAATCCTGTGGTGGAAGAGGGGGGAGGGAGAAGGCGAGGGGGGTGAGGAGGAATATTTATGATGTTTTTCTTCACATCCTTTGATTTCGTACTTTCATTTTTACCTACAAACCCCATGGGCTATTCACTCCCATCGCAAGTTAGCCAAGACGATCATTGCCAGAATGGGTGTCATACATATCTACTATTTTATTTTTCCTCTAGCAAATGTCATGTAATTCCAACAAATTCTCTTTTAAGGAAGGTGCCCATCGTGCCTGAAGAACATAGCGCTGATATTGGTAGCTGTGCCATCGAATCGAAAAATTTCGCCACTCCAATCGGTCAGTTTACTCTCCTACATGGCTTACTCCTGAACTTATTGTCGGTCCCTAATTGAAAGAGCGCTAAACATAGCTAGCCTTCGAGAAGGGTAGGCTCCGCTCTTGACTTAGGTTATTATTTTTTCCCAGTATTCCAAGGCGTCAATTCTTTTCATTTCTTTTTTTGATGATTCCCAAGAATGGTCTCTATGTCATCGAAGATTTCCTTGAATTAATTGATAACGCTCACAGATGAACCGTTGGATCCTGAAAACTATAAACATCATCGCAAAGACTCGCGTTTGAGTCACCAGCTGGACAGAAACTTCTACGGTAGCTTCTTTCATTCATTTTCCTGTGCACAATGTGTCGTGGCACTTTGGTGTCCGTGGTATAACACTGTCAGCACGAGTCTTCTTGCACGACACTAACGTTGAATGTTATCGATTTTATCGATTTTTATGTTTTGCTGTGGTGCACCGATCAATTTCGTTTGCATGACTTCAGTAACTTCTTGTGCCTCTGTCTGGTTATTATGGGAGACGGTGTTGATTTTTTCCTTCCACCCGGTTTCGTCTTTTTCAAAAACTGAAAATACGTCTGTTTTTGATTTTGAGCGGTTCTGAGAACAAAGTCCTTTAAGCTCAGCTCCCAATCAGTGACCTTTAGTATCAAGTACAGGTTACGATTCGACGGACGGAAAAGGTTCGAATGTCCTTTTGGGATGTCCTTCGCCTCTATGCAGTAGAATGACCATATGATGAAGAGGTGGAAATCTCTGTACAAAATTAAGTTTTCCCCTTCCCTTCAGAGAAAATCAACACCTTCCTTTCCACCATGTCCTCACATTCAAATGAAGTTGAACTGCTGATTGTATCGAACTTTTCAGATACAGAGAAGTCATCTGTTCCAGTAGCTGTCAAACCTTCAAAGGAGGCGGTGCAAACGGTAACGACAGTGAGACTATCTTTCGAGAGCCTATGTTTTTAGCACTAGACTGTAGACTGTATTTTCGGTTTAATTTATATGTATGCAGACCTAAAAATTTCAGTGTGGCGGTGGGTTCGCTTCGGCTGAACGTGACGGTATGGGAGCTGTTCGGTTCGGCATATCGAGAACTTCCCACAGCCGCGTGAACTTTGAAGGAAAATTGTATCCGAACATATCGGAGTGAGTATTCTACTTTAATGAAAAACTGTAGATTCTGTTGGAAGGTGCAGAAGAAAACATAAAGCAGCATGCTAAAACGATGGTCATCTATGGCATTGTTGGTTGATGGACATTCCCCATTTGCTACTTGGCTTATTCTGTGATTATTCCACAAAAGAGTCATCAGCCCCAGGTTTCTTCAAAAAATAGCAATCGCGAGGCTCGAGTTAGGCTTTCTCAATGCAGCAGTTTGAAACTTATTCATAGTTCCTTCAGTATCAAGACTTTTACGGTGTAAGAGGTGTCAGGTGCCACACTGACACTCTTCCTTATTCATTGAAGTTTGGGATCGAGTTTCAACCTTAAAGGGACAATGGTGAAGATTTTGGTCTCGGTCAATCCTGTATTCGGGATGTAGCCCCGCAATCCACTGTTTGAATGCCACTGTGTGTGGCTTATACAATGACTTGCAGTGACCAGCTAATGTGCGAATCAGTGTTTTTATCCTCCCAGACGGGTCTGGTGGTAATTTTCCGATCCCGGAGGGATGCGAGGTTTGGTCGGTGTAGCCGGATAACGATCCGATCCAGGCTTCGATCCCCGAAGCGATAGTGTGTCACTTGCCGCTACAACATGTCCACCGCGTGCAGTCATAAAAATCACTTCTTCAAAAAACCCCTATTTTTCAGAGTTCCTTCAGTTTTTTTCGTTTACTTCGCTTACCAGCGAAATACTATTCTGCATCAGCACTTTTTTCCCTAGAACTCTAACATGGATACATAAATTTGTAGCAATTTGTAGCTTTCAAGCATGTATAATATTTATGTCCGCTTCAAGAAAAGAACCTAAACCTTGAATGCCCCACGAAGGACCAGTTTACTGCACACTTCTGTTCGATGCCAGTAATGGAGCTAAGGCAAAGCTCATTCTATAAGGAGCGTAAGGAAGTACAGTGAATGAAAAAATTGAATAGCGGCAACATAAACAACAGAATAAACACGGCGACTGAGAAGGTGAAGCTGTAGGAAGGCACGGTGCTGGGACTGGATAGTATTCTCGCAGAAACTAAGAACAGACTCCCTTGCTTTCGAATCTCTTCCGGTTCAGATCGGACTTCTTGTATATAGTAAGTAAGGCGCGATTGCTTACATAGGCGTAATGGGCACCAGAACCTTCCTTCAATGATTTAGCAAAATTTCTCTTCCTTCTGGACGCAAACAGTTCCTCATCCAAGATTAATTCCCACAAAGAAAGATGTCGTCGTTATCGAATGGTTGATTTTCAGCTTCCAAATATCCTTCTCGATGCGTACAGAACAGCCAACTGGAATGATATGGGTGTGGGCGAACTACAAGAACTATACACGATATTTCTATTTTAACATCATCGATGGCTATCCTACTATCGAGGTAATGATTCTTGTCCATCATAGTGCTTTGCTTACAAACGTCGTGTGAGTGCCGGGAGGCTTTAACCGAAACTCCTAAATTCCATACTTAGGTAAAAGGCAGACATCCTGAACCGAAAATCTTGAAGAACGAGGATCGCAGACTGGATGATGGACACTGGCACGACATCGTCATTATCAAAAAAGGGCGAGAGCTTTTGTTGATGGTAAACTTCGCCCTTTTACCATAGCATTCAACGCATTTCATTTGATCACATCTAGGTGGACGAATTGCTACCAGTTTCCATAAAAGACTGTCCAACGCCAAAGGTGATGCGACGTCGTATGTACATCGGAGGTGTCATATCCAAACATCGCTCGGCTTTCGGACCTCAAACACCTGGCTTCGACGGTTGCATTCGCGATCTGAAGGTAGTATTCAGGTTGACGCTTGATTAGACACAGCAGAAGATCCACAATTGTAGGTTAACGATGTTTTACAAAGTCTCGAAGGTGGCTCTTCACGTGATGTTATTCCTTGCGCTCAGCCTACTAAAGGAATGTATGCTCACGAGGGTGGATTTGCTGTGTTCGGTAAGTCTTACAGGTTTACTACCTTCCCTTGCAGTACCTTGTTGCCCTCCAACCCACCTGGTGTTGTTCTTGGAAATCTAACCCCCTCTCGCGAGAACTTTTAATGGATTCCTGAGCATGAGGTAGTTACTTGGTCATAAGGAAATTTCTGCGAGATCTATTCCGGTAACAAAGCTATTTCGGTCGATCATTTAGTCCGTGCTCTTGAAAAGGTCATTATTATATTCGAGTAACATGTTGAATTTGCAGATGGTCTCCAAAAGTCCATCAAGGATGGCTCCCGTAACATCGACATAAGGCTGAGCTTCCGACCAATTGTTGATGAAGGCACTGTACTTGCATTGCTGACCAACAGTAATCCAGAGGCAGCACGATTAACTATAGAAATCAAACAGGATAAGGTATGTTTGTTGCAGAAGGAATGGGTGCACTGTCCGAGCTTTCTCTTTTTTCCACCATTTCAAATACTTGCGTATCATTTGCACCAGGATCCAGTCCCATGGCTGGTCACTTCTTGACAAAAAATTCTGAGAATTCTGAAGAAACTGCCTCTGCGATATGGATAAAAGCAAGGAATGTAGCTGTGGCTGTCAGTGGAAACATCGGCGACCTGCCTCTCGTGGCAACCACACGCCTTCTTTGCCCTCCAACCCAACTCACACTTAGTCACAAAGGAGGGGCTGTATTCTGTTTCTATCAAAAGCCATTTTTCTCAGGTCATGGTTTCCGTAATCCATGAAGAAAGTGATCTGGAAATTCTCGATGCGATACCCGTGCTCCGACCATTCTGCGACGGTGGATGGCATTCTCTTCACCTGTTTGTTGGCGACAACATGATGCAGATCACGATAGACGACGTAAGTTTTTCCCGTTGACTGTTAGCTGTCCATCCCAATCTACGGCATCTTACAGGAGCGGAACGAGCTCCCGATTGATCAGTTGTC